TCTTGCCAATTTGATACTGTTTTCCTAATTTGATACTTTCTTGTCAAGTTGATACTTTTTTGCAAATTTGATACTATCTTGTCAATTTCATACTGCCTTGTCAATTTGTTACAGCTGTCTTGTAGCCATTCTAAAACACATATTGAGCCATTTTCTGTTTGGGTTTAACGTCTTCATTAGAGGCAGTGGAAGACGAATGTACCATTATTTCTATAATATTCTTTGAATTGTTCTTTGAATGACCAAGGACACTATACAGAAGGTCCTTGGAATGATCTAACGTCCTTGGAATGATCTAACGGTGGACACGTTTCACCCATTCTAAAGAGTCGTCATCGGATAGCCTCTACCAGGCTTCGGGAGCGGGCTGAAAGAGTAGAAATGGGCCAAATAGAGAGAGATAACATGCCAGGGGAGTTGGTCTGCTGGGGAGAACAGCAAACTGTGCTCTCTAGCGGGCCATGTTATCTCTCTGTTTGGCCAATTTCTACTATTTCCAGCCTCCTCCCAAAGCCTGGTAGAGGCTAGTCATTGGTGAGTCAATGGTGACCATCGGTATCCACAACATGACACCCCCGGTCTGACACGGCCGCTGTTTAGGCGGTGTCTGGGAAACACAAAGGGCAACTTACGTAATCACAGTGGGCAGGTGTACAACTCACCTGTCGGGCAGACGTGAAAAACACTCGGAACAATGCCAAACTTCTTATAAGGATGTGACTGAAGAAAGAAAACCTGTAGGGGGAGGGTGTATGGGATCAGACCCCCACATACCTGTTGTTTTAACCTACCATCCATAACCCAGCCGAGTTAAACAAGCTAGCTTCTGTCGTTCACTGATTATTTACAAGTTGGGAAGACACACTTGAGAGTTCACATCTGTATCTAACCAAGGATATAACCTCCTTGATCTAACAAACTCAAGAAGCAAAATAGATTTGGATTCGTGTGCGACATTGATGAAGGTGTTTCAGTAAAAAATAACTTAGAGAAGTCTGCTCTTTCAGATAAAATACTGCTACTGTAAATGAGTGTGTCATGCTGAAGTCCAGCCGACGTGTAACTGCTAGGGCGTCGCGCTGCTAGATCTAATACTAGTATGCCATACATCTGGATCTCAGGCGACACTGACATCTGGATGTCAGAAATCTGGCCAATGACTTCCCAATTAAAAAGTGATCAGGCTTCTCTCCGTGACCCCAGATGGTAAACAAACAGACAGACCGGGCGGTTTGTTTGAAGTCTTCCCGGGTCGCTATCAGCAGGAAACCGCCCGTCCGCTGACTGTCCAACCCGGGAAACCGCAGGGCACGTAATACGGAGTCATGTCCCCTCACACAGGACATAACGTTACACATATAGAGTAGAGTAGAGTAGAGTATGTATATATACTGTACTGTACTGCACTGTACTATACTCTGCAAGAGTCATGTCTCTGTCATATATAATACTCTTCAAGCACAGGTTTAGATCACATATACATAAGTCTACTATTTAGGGGGAGCTTTCGTTTTTGTACCGGTATCTTTTTTTCGCCAGAGAAACTATGAACTATGGTACCGTATTGGATACTGCACTGTCAATTTAAGATTAATACTGTCTATCATCAGGCGGCTAATGTGTCTTCTACAGTCATGAAAACAACGCATCACATTTTAACATCATTCAGTAGACTTTCTTTTTAGGCTCCCTGTGTCAGTGTCACCCTGTCAATTGTTGACAAACCAACCGCTGATATTTGTTGCATCAATGTTTGACAATGTGTAACTGCAGTCTAGTACTATATCGCACTCCCTACGTGTTTAGGACAGGTGCACCTTGCTTGAAACTGCGAGACAAACTTTACGATTCAACCCACAGAAATCTCATGAGGACATGTGGCCGTAATGTGGCCGGAAGGGCTTAGATTGATCTTTGGTTTGTAGGTGGGTGTTTATGTTTTGTTGCTGTTGTTCGAAGATTTCCACTGAGATGGAAATCTGATGGGGGAATGTGGCCGGAAAGGCTAGATTGATCTTTGATTTGAAGGTGGGACCTGGTGGGTGTTTTGTTGCTGTTGTTCGAGGAAGAAGGGGAGAGGTCGCAGCGAAATGTCACGGAGTGGGCGTGTGTAGATCTGTGTACGTTCGTGTTACCGCAAAATTCCGGACGGGTGAATCGCGTACACGAGAAGCCTTATGAGATTATGAAGGTGAATTCATCTTTCATGGCCTTTCATTAGATCGACAGCGGTTCAAATTAGGCAGGAGAAAAGAAGTGTGGGGGAGGAGTGAACAAAGAAACGTTGAACTTGAAGGCAAGCGATATACGAGATATACAACCGCAACTTCCCGCATCTGTCATATCCCCTTTGACTGAGTTTTACAAATTTATTTTTTATATACTGAAAACTTTCCTTTGGGGTATGTTGACCATAGCTAAGGAGGTAGGCATTGTAGGCCCTGTCTGGCAACCAGGCTACCCTAACACCTGTTCATGGGGACGATTTTTTACCTTCGCCAAGAAGGTTATGTTTTCAGTAGCGTTTGTCCGTCTGTCTGTCTGTTTGTCTGTGAACAGCATAACTCAAGAAGCTTAGTATGCATTGTCATGAAATTTGGTAGGTGGGTAGGTCTTGATGAGACCTAGAAATGATTAGATTTTGGGCCCCCCGGCGGCCTCTGTTGGTACTGCAGCAGAACTTCCGGTTTTGATATCTAGCGATCTGTACATGCTCGGGTCACAAATTTTGGTTGGTAGATAGCTCTTGGGGTAGGGAAGAAGTGACATGAGTTTGGGCCCCCTAGCGGCTTGTTCTGGAACTGCAGGAGCATTTGTTGAAAAATTTTCGAAGGATGATAACTAAGGAACCGGTTGACGGATTGTCGTGATTTTTGGTATGTAGGTAGCTGAAGTGAAGCTTGACATAATCAAATGATAATTATGCAAATTAGGAGCTAATTTGCATAATTAATGAGGAAATTCTAAAACTCTGCATTGTTCGATAATAGGACTATGAAACACTTGTGACATGTAATTGAGAATGAAAAAAAAATTGAGGATATAGATTATGTAAATGAAGACCTAATTTGCATAATTAATGGGAATTTTTTTGTAATTTCATAGTTGTAACTACTGGGAATTTCATACTTGCCACATTTGGAAGTTAAGTGAAGGCGAACATCAACAAACATAATTTATTCAAATCATGACCTCATTTGCATAATCAATGAGGAAGTGCTATAATAGCCTTTTTGTTAAGATAAGACTGTCATTGGGTGGAGAATATGATCAACTGATATAACCCATGCAAATGAGGGTCTTATTTGCAAAATCAATTATTAAATTTGTATAATTCTTCAACCGCACGGGTTAACATCATTTGGCGAAGGTATGAGATCGTGGAACTCTTGTTGTTCATAAAATCCAAGCAGATGTCGGGAGGGAGATCGTAACATTCTCTACCACGTCCCGTTCTTCTGATCAGCCTGGTTACTAGTACCACAAAACTCTCTTCCGTCCTCCCCGCAAAACAAAAGAGACTCAGTAGCCATGATAAGGTTTTCTTGCGTTTGGAGAGTCAAACGTCAGAATACTAGTATATATTTATTGTAAAGTTCGTTGGCTTTTAGTCTTCGAAAACAACACTCTACTGTTTTGTTTCTCAGTGTTGAAAACACCGTTTGCCCCGGTGTAACCCCAACTTCCGCGGGCGGGCGGACAGGGCGGGTCACCCATGAGTCACTCTTGGCTTCTCTCTCTCGTCTTGTTGACCTTGACAAAGCCGGGATTATAGAGGTCAAGGTCACACGCCCTCACACGTCTTAACAGTTCCTTTAGGTCGTCCTTCTTCAAGTGTGGGCAGGCGGAAACCACAGATTTGTACCGGGGGAAAGCCACCAAGGAGCACCGAGGGGTGTCTGAGGGAAGGAGTGGGGAGTCTGTAGCCTCTACCAGTCTTCAGACAATGTCAGAGGCGACTAGAATGGCCAAAAGACATATAGCCTCCATAGCATGCCAAAAACTGAGGGTTGTGGGGGTCTTCAGGGTCTTTGGGAACTTTTATGTGCTATGATGTGCTATTTTCTGATTGCATATAGACAACATAGCCGGGCTGGTTGAATTACTTAGAACTGGGCTAATCAGAAAGCAGCCGAAGACCACCAAACCCCCAGTTCTATAATATATGCCTGCTACGGAGGCTAGGCAATATCTACTCTTCCTAGCCTCCTCTGAAGACTGGTAGAGGCTAGCTAAGGAGTTCTCTTCTCTACTGGACACGGACATAAAGAAAACATTGTCGTGTTTTCGGTCATTAGTTTTCGGATTAGGCAGGTTTTCGGGTTGTTTTCTTTCTGGTTTCAATAAAGCTAATTTGTAAACAGATACAAGTAGGAGATACGCGTCGCAGGGGGTCTTCCCAGGATCATGCTGCTTCAATTATCAAATCCGCGCCGTGTTTTTCATCAACATTTCCCTTTGAATTGACACATGTGATTATGTAATAATAGAACGTAAGAAGGTTCATGTCTGTGACGGTATTTTAAATAGCATTTGATATGAAGATTTGAAAAGCTTGTTTTGTGCGCAAAAGTGGCTTCGAGTATTGAAGGACTGACCGAAAGCTTGTGTATGGGTTTTCATAACATCATAATAATAAACGTATATTGTATTGCTAGGAAGACTCCAGCAGATCCGAAGATTTCTATTCTTTGTTCCCTGCAGTCTAAACTTGCCCAGAAATAGTGGTAATCTCCCTATTATTCTACCTTTTTCTGCCAGCTTCTGCTAGTATTCCCCCAGCCCACAGAATACTCTTGTTCCCTGCAATTTTTTAGGTGGCAGATACTTGGCTTCGGCACCTTTCTGTGTGTCGTTTAGATTGTATGACGAGGTGTAAAAGTTAAATGTACCTAAACGTGCGAAACGATGGACAATTTATCTGATCTACGTACGTGCTACCACTGCTATGCTACATACGGACAACTGAAAACAGATGGTCTTTCAGACGTAAATATCGTTCGGAACAAGGGCTTTTATTCCATAACAAAAGTTTTGTTACTCAATAATAGAAACATAACATCTCTCTCTGTTTCCTGAACATAGGGCGTTAATCTCTGGTAAAAATCTGTACAGAAATATACAAAGTTATAAATAATAACTCAATGTTGAAATAAACAAGTATTCAACTCAACAACAAGAAAATCGTTTCCGAATGATTCCTCATAGTCTCGATCTCCAGTCTTCTTCACGGGCAACAACAAAGCAGTTAGCCGAATACACACTCTCTTTCAAAAATCCATATCTCGTATAGAAACTACGAGGCTATTTTGTCTGATTGGCTGACTGCTATTAGGGTTTTGTGAAGCCGTACAGGAAGTCTGGAGAGCGAGGCTAGCGTGACCCGCGGGTCGGGTGCCACATCTGGGTCCGGTGTTCTGAATTTCTAAACCGGGCGCGGAAATAATTATTGTCCGATTTCGGCACAGAGCAAGCGGAAATATTTACACTTTCTCACCGCCTCTCGGTAACCTGATCAAAACACGCGCCTACACAACATGGCAACAACAACAACAGAAGTTCAAATCACTTTTGCAGTTCGCAAGTCATAATTATTTCCACAACGTCGTGTGTGTGAAAAGTATAAAGAACGAGCTAGCTGTGTCGGCATGCGGGCCACAGAACGTGAGACCGCACCCCCGTGGTTTTGGCGTTACAAAGCGAATCATACTGGCGTGATGAAAACAACTTTAACAAGTCAAAAAACAGCGGTACAGTTTGGAAATATCCACTAGTTTCCAACTAACAGATGTGGTGTAACTGTGTATGTATGTAATTATCTTTACCGTCTGGGTGGACGTAAAAGCCGGAATCCATTGAATCAAACCGGACCGGAACACATCTGGAAACGGAAACGAGCGACCTTGGCGGTTGGGTAGGGCATATTCCACCCTCGGAAGAACCAAAAACAAGTAGAATACCGTGTTTACGGTACGTCATAAATAATAACAACAACAAGTAAACAAACAAAGTTTTGTCGGTAATCCTGGCACTTTCGTAGCGCGGTTTCTCAACTTAAACATGTAGTTTCCGAACTCGGAATGTCCTGTTTGTTTTCTCACATGAAGTTCACGAAAAAGTCTATGTTCTCTCTCTCTCTGTACACGAGTTTGTTTGTCCATATACACATCAGAAAGTCTCTCTAGACTAGTGGTTGGGAAGACAGCAGCCCGCTTCTTCGTGCTTTGTGAGGAGAGACATTCTCGAGAACGTCTTGGAGCAGTTCTTACAGCTGTACTTCTTGATGTCGGAGTGCGTTTGGAGGTGGGCGCGGAGGTTGGAGCGGTCGGCGAAGGCGCGGGAACAGTGCGGGCACGCGAACGGCTTCTCGCCCGTGTGTGTCCGTACGTGCCCCTGGAGCAGCCACGGTCGGGAGAACGCCTTCCCGCAGATCTTGCACTTGCAGGGCAGCGTGTGGGTGCGGATGTGCATCTTCAGCGCGCCCAGGGAGACGTACACCTTGTCGCAGTACTTGCAGTTGAACGCCTTCTTGCTCTGGGTCACGCAGTGGAACTGCTTGTGCTTGGTGAGTCCGCTGTAGGTAGAGTACGACTTAGCGCACTGCGGGCACTGGTACCGCGACTGGTCGCTACCACCACCGGAGGGTGTGCGCTTCTTCAGCGGCTTGCCGTGCGAGGTCTCCCCGCCGGGGAGCTCGGCCTCCATCGGTAGCGGCGGCGAGGCCCGTGCTGGCGGCTCCGGAGAGAGTGGGAGCGGCGGCAGCCCGCCCAGCTCCATGGCGGCCGCGGCGTCCGACGGGTAGCACAGCGGGACGGGCCAAACGGCGGGCGGGGGCACCACCAACCCCGGCTCCACGGTCGCTGCCAACTCAGGGAACGGTTTGATCACTGCAAAATCACAAATAATTGTACATTAGTATGCTATAGTGGTGGTCAAAGATACAACAATTTTCTGTTTCGTGTCTTTCGTCGAACAAGAGAATTTACAAAATGCAGCAAAGATTCAACAAACGGTTTGATCACTGCAAAATCACAAATAATTGTACATTAGTATTCTATAGTGGTGGTCAAAGATAGAACAGTTATCTGTTTCGTGTCATATTTCGTCGAAAAACGCAGCCAACTACAAAACTGCAAACACACAAATAAATTGTACGTTAGGTCGGTAAAGGTTATACATCCAGGTAGTAAGATACACCAAAAAACAGATACTCAAGCAACTGGATATGATTTTGGAAACGGTCAGACGTTTCAGGTAGTATCCACCTACTTTCGTCAGTGACTGAGAGACCAGAGGAGAAATGCAGACTGTTTTGATCAGGTTAAATTGTACATTAGTATTCTATAGTGGTAGTCAAAGGTATAACAATTATCTGTTTCGTGTCGTTCGTCGAACAAGAGAATTTACAAAACGCGGCAAAGAGCGATCGAAAAGTGATCGAAATTTCTGCACAGGGCTTCCCACAGTAAATTGTCGCCGTGACGTTAGGATGTTGATTTCATTAACAGAAGTAATCTGTTGAGACCTGTAAACTTCGCACGATCGGGTCCCACCCACCCCTTCCGACACCCCCGTAGCACAGTTAGGCAGAAAACAAGCGCCCCTCTGTTATTAAAGAGCGGTAATTATCAAGCGAAAGGTTCTCTGACGAAATTACGGATGAAACGAGATCAAGACTTGCTTCAGGGCGAAAAGTCTCGCTCTGTACAAGGCCGGAGAATGAAGGACTAGAAGAAACACGTGCTTTTCACGACAATCACAATCACAAACAGATATACAAAACACACCCCACAGCCCGGAAATGTGTCGACATCCTGTCAAAAATTCCCTCCACAGCTGGCCTGGCCGCACGGACCAACCAAACAAAAATCAACTTTCACACCAGCTTTTTCAGGGAGAACAAACGTAGAATTCTTTGTGGATAACTTGTAGTTTTAGAACTACTTTCGCGGACTTTCAAGGTACTAAACCTTGCCGGACGGGAGAGTTCTACCCTGCGGGGTAAGTTTTGTTCGAGGCCGCGGACGCCCTTCACAAAAGCGGTATCCTCCACAGCATGCCAAAAACTGGGGGTCTTCAGGGTCTTTGGGAGTTTTTATGTGCAATTTTCTGATTGCATATAGACAACATAGCCGGCCTGGTTGAATTACCCCCGTTTTTTAGAACTGGGCTAGTCAGAAAACAGCCGAAGACCACCAAACCCCCAGTTCTATATTAAAGCCTGCTGCGGAGGCTACCACCGGAAGAACACGTTACGTTATATACAGAGCGGGCAAGAACAACAACAACAACAACACGAGCGGCCACATTACTTCACATGGCGGGGGCTTAGCTTAGAGGCACTCCAAACCCCCGTTTCGCCGTCTTACACTTTGTGTGTTCGTGCCTTCACGGACTCAAGAGGGCGAGGAGTCGTGAGACTGTGCAAAGTTAGACTGCCGAGGACCCTTGTAGCGGGGTCGTGTGGCGGGAAGGCAACCTGCTACACTGGAAGCTAGCTATCACGAAGCGAAGGACAAGTTCTCAAGAACCTTTTCCTTACCTGAGTCGTCGAATCTCGGCTTCTTGGTGGCATGGTGAAGCTTCTTTTTGATCAGGAAAGACCGCGGCATGGTGTCCGAGTGAAGGTGGGTACAGAAAAACCGGGAGAAACAGCAGTGAACGTGAGTAGAAGTTTGTTTTTTTCCTTCCAGCGAGCGGTGAAAACTTGTTCGGCGGCTGGCTGTCAGTTTCTCGCGTGTCTCCGCATGCCAGGAGCAAGTGGCGAACTGACGGCAGGCCGGGGTGTCAGGTGGATTTAAATTAAACACTTGCGGCCAGCCGCAGCCAATCAGCGCCTGGTCACGCCTCCAGTCCACCAATCAGGGCACAGGTAACATGCTGGGAAGCCCCTACTACGTAACGATGTCACTGTAGCCAATCGGGTGGCTTGCACAGGTGTAATGAGGAGTTTTTTTTCTTCCTCAGCTCAGCGGTTCCAGCCGTAACAAGTCTTTTATTTATTTTCCGAACCTCAAGTGGCATCAAGGAGGTCTTTGGCGAAATGAGGGATGGCGGGTTCAAAGTGACGAGGCGGTTTACGGGGTGAGGCCGGGGTAGCCTCTGCAGCAGGCTTTTAGAACTGGGGGTTTGGTGGTCTTCCGCTGTTTTCTGATTAGCCCAGTTCTAAAAAACGGGGGTAATTCAACCAGGCCGGCTATGCTGTCTATATGAATCAGAAAATAGCACATAAAAGCTCCCAAAGACCATGAATCGAAGAAAACCCCCAGTTTTTGGCATGGTATGGAGGCTAGCTTCCCCCGCGCCTCGGCGGCAGGCGGGCCGGGGCTGGCCTCGGGGTGCGCCCGCAGGAATGCACGCAGCATTCCGCACGTGGCGCCGCCCGCCAAATGTACGTAGCCTCCGCCAGGCCTTTCTACGGGAATACGGATCGTAGAATTGGGCAAAAAAGGAGAGTAAAATTGGCCAAGGGAGTCCAGCCGCCAGAAGGTACTAGTAGTTTCTTTCCCTCCGAAGCGGCCAGTCAAACCTACAGCCGAAGACCACCAAACTCCCAGTTCTATAAGCCTGCTACGGAGGCTACAGTACAGGGGATCGAAGCCTGTGCGGGATGTGTCCCACCTGTGTGCCCGAGCAAGCCAGGACAGGTGCCCTCGGGCTGGGAAACGGGACACTCAGGCCCGACAGGTGCAAGTCTTGAGTGCCACTTCTCAAGACACGCTTCAAGACTCCGAGTCTTTACCTGTGAGAGTGGGGGAAAGTTTTCTTGAGACGTGTAGTATTATATAGCCTCTACCAGGCTTCGGGAGGCGGCTGGAAGTTGGCCAAATAGTGAGATATTAAACGTGTCATAGGGGAGTTGGTCCTGACACCTGACAAGTCGCGCTCCAAGACTCCAAGTCTTACCTGTACTGTGGTGTAGCCTCTACCACACTTCGGGAGCCGGCTAGAAAGAGTAGCAATTGGCCAAATAGTGAGATAACATGCCTTTGGTTGCGGCAAACTGTACTCTCTACCGGACCAACTCCCCCGGCATGTTATCTCTCCACTTGACCAATTCCTACTCTTTCCATCCACATCCCGAAGCCTGGTAGAGGCTAGTAGTAGTGGGGAAAGTTTTTGAGACGTGTAATGTTACACACGGAACGACCGTCACATCAAGTTTTAAATTGCTGGATTCAATTATAAAGGCACCAATTACAGGCGGGGAGAGAGAATGATCTCTCCCATGGGACATCAAATCTGACAACCACTATAAACACGAGAAAAGAAAACCTAGCCTCTACCCAGGCTTCAGAGGTGGCTGGAAAGAGTAGAAATTGGCCAAATAGACAGATAAAACATGCCAGGAGAGTTGGTCCGCTAAAGGAGTACAGTTTGCCTCTCTGAGGTTCAGTTTCTACTCATCTGGTCCCCTCTGAAGCCTGGTAAAGGCTAGGAAACCCACACAAACCACCACATAACCCCTTCAATGACCTTCAATGGCCTACATGTACTCTAGATTTTTCGTGGCGGTTCACACACATGTTCAGTTTTAGTCCAAAACCCAAACAAGTTTGGCAAACTTCTGCTCTCAGAGTAGATATCTGTGCTTTTTTTTCAAGCCTGCTTTTTTTTTGTAGTACAGAACGCGGGAACCAGCAGTGACAAACGGACGCCATATGTTCAGGTTGTTCAGTACTCGGTCCGCAGGGGCCCGGACACAATGGGCCACCGCTCGGTTCTCACGGTGTCGGCGGCCAGGCATTCCTACACGCGCCGCAACCGACATAACGCACCGTACCTTCTAATCGCGCTGTGGATTCGTCTTCTTCGCTCTGTTTAGGACCCGTTTTGGCAAGAAGAACGCGTGGGTTTTGTTTTGTTTTGGCTTGTTGTGACATTTAAAGAAGAAGAAAGTGTAGTGACCGCTTTGATGTAAACTTGTACCATGGAGGTAAAAGAGAGAATTTTTCTACCTCCATGCTTGTACCAAGGAAGGAGGTTCAAAAAGCCTTATACTAGTAACTCCATGCTTCAAAACGTAAGGAAAACTGAACATGTGTCACATGCATGTGTGAACAGCCAGCCGTGAAGAACCAGAGGGCTAGGGTGCATGTAGGCAGGGCTTTAGCCAGCTCGAAATTTGATGTAGGCCATAGTAGGGGTTGTGTGGTGGTTTGTGTGGGTTTTCTAGCCTTGAAGATGAACAGAAATTCTCCCTCTACGACTCTGAAGTTTTTTCCCTTCCCAAAACAAAACACACGCGAACTTGACGACTTGTGGCGCCAGAGTTATCACAGAAACTTTTATGACGGATGAATTTGCGGGCGAGGGTGCGCGGGGGGTCGGCAGGTTGACGTACCCCCGACCCTCCCCCGACACAGCTCGCTCCAGATGTTCCAGAAAAATCAGGCTTGAAAAAATGAGAGCCGCAAACTCATTAGAACGCCGAGTTCGGCAGCTTTTCAGTCGCGAACAATAGCTGGGAACAAGGACATTATAATGTCTTTGCTGGGAACAATACCGGGGTGTAGAGATGTAGGTCGAATTCAGTCGTGGGATGTGAACGACCCCAACAGATACTTTGGGGTTACCAGAGGTCAAATCAAGTTCATCGCTGAATGTTGGAAACAAGGAATGCTAGTAATATACTAGTAGTAATAACCTCGACCACATGAAAAAAGCAGATATTACCCCCAGAATTGAGTGAATGACAAGCGACGGGAAAACAGCAGTTGATCGAAAATTTCAATTCTTTTGTCAATTCGCAGTGTTCCACAAATTTCTAATGTTGGACCGCCTGCTTTTATAATAGCTGTTCTACTAAGCCGCAGGTTGGTACATGGTCATGGTGCGATCTTCTAATCTCCAAGCAGGTCCCTTTCGGTGGCAAAAAGACAGTATCAAATTGGCCAGGCAGTATCCATTAGCCAGAGAAGGTCCGCGGCCACCGAAGGGTGGGGGTCAGGACAAGAAAAAACGGCCATCATATAGTATAAAAATGTAACGATCATTCCCCCACAACTTCTGCTTGGAGAGTAGATCTCTCAGGTTGTCGGCAGCTGGAAGTTATAACCGGAGTGATGACGGGCGGCACAGCACGCTGCAAGACCTCGCGTTCCACAGGACAGGTCTAACGGGGCTAGCCTCTACCACAGGCTGCGCCACGGTCTCTCCCAGCACGCGGCAAGACCTCGCGATCCACAGGACAGGTCTAACGGGGCTAGCCTCCACAGCAGGCTGTGTGACGGCCAGTCACAGCACGCGGCAAGACCTCGCGTTCCACAGGACAGGTCTAACGGGGCTAGCCTCTACCACAGGCTGCGCCACGGCCTCTCCCAGCACGCGGCAAGACCTCGCGTTCCACAGGACAGGTCTAACGGGGCTAGCCTCCACCGCAGGCAGTGCCACAGCGGACCTATTACAAGCTGTACCGTATGGTATGGAAAATACCAAGGAGGTTGTATTTAACCTCCTTGAAAATACGTATTTTGCCGAGGGAGTTTGCATTTGCCATGGCACTTGTTGCCTCATTTCAAGAGATTATACAAGCATTGGCCTTGCTAATTTTAAACCTCCTCGGTACTGTGCTATTGACCCTATTTCTGCCGAACTCTACTATCCATATCCGCTTGGAAAAAGGTCTGATGGAGGCTATGTAAAGCCCACCACCGAGCCTGCTGATCCGAGTCTAGAGAGACCTCGCGTTCCGCCCTGACGTCGTGCGCGGATCTGGAGGACATCAGTTCCCGGTCGTGCGACTCAGCACGCCGCGCCAAACGATGTGTGAACGACAATTACGTAGACATGGTAGCCGGGTGTTGGTTAATGGTAGCCACTACCAGGCTTCGGGAGGTGGCTGGAAAGAGTAGAAATTGGCCAAATAGAGAGATAGCATGCCAGGGGTGCAGCAAACTGTTCTCTCCAGCAGACCAACTCTCCTGGCATGTTATCTCTCTATTTTGCCCATTTCTGCTATGTCCAATCGCCTCTTGAAGCCTGGTAGAGGCTATGTGTGAACGACAATCATATGGCCGGGTGTTGGCAAGATGGAGCGGAGATTTATACCGGACGACATGGCTTCACACTGGTGACAAAAATAAACAATTAAAACCACCTTTTCCGTCATCATATCCGCATAAAAATGCATGTACGGTGTGCGGAACAAAAAGTGCAAGGTGCAAGCAAGAAGTTTCTTGGTGCAAGCATTGAGCAATAATTTGAGATTTACAGCTCCATGGTACAAGGAATCTGTGAGAACAAGAAGAAATAATCTATTGGGCGTAATTTTTCGCAAATCCTTTGAATTTTCGAAAGAAAAACGACGTTTCTCCGCTGTCCAAACCACAAGGACAACATGACTTCAACCATGATTTTTTTACCTCCATGCTTCAAGCAAGGAGTCCTTGCTTCAAGGTTAACCCTCAGAACAAACCGCTCGGAACTAAAGAAACGTTTCGACTCCTTGAACGACTAGTTAGCCAATTTTATCTCATGTTGAGTTGTTCCACATGTTGGACGTTAGGATCTAAACGTGCCCCCACGCCAAGTTCCAGATGTGTGTAGGTACTGACAACAGGTTGGGGTAGCCTCCATAGCATGCCAAAAACTGGGGATTTGGGGGGGTCTTCAGGGTCTTTGGGAGCTTTTATGTGCTATTTTCTGATTGCATATGATATAGACAACATATCCGGCCTGGTTGAATTACCCCCGTTTTTAGAACTGGTCAGAAAACAGCCGAAGACCACCAAACCCCCAGTTCTATAAGCCTGCTACGGA